TTCAACTATTTAGGTGCTGTATTCTTAAGAATTCAAGTACAATACGATTAATTATTAAAAGTGTAAGAAAACTTTGTTTATTTCGAACCTTTTTTGACTATTTTATCCGAAGATTAAACTTAACAACAGTAGAAATTTAAAAAGATGTTATAAAATAATTGGGATACTACGCGCGCTATGATTGGTCGAAAACCATGTTTGATGAGAGTATCAAAGCACGCTATCGTCATTTTTAATCTATCGCGCGCGCTCATTGGTCAGTTTGAATAAGACGGCACGTAGGGAGAATTTACTTAGACTTTGCTTTTTTTCGTTCTTTTCGCGTGTTTGTTATTTTATAAAACAAATCAAAAACAGTTTTCTGTGTTTGATACTCTGATCAAAACACTTGGGATGTTGGGAGGCACTCGAGAAGCTGGAAACCACTCCGCTACGCGTAGTGGTTTCCTACGCTCCTCTCTTGTTCTCCCAACATCCCGCGTTGTTTATGAATTTTTACAATCTAACTTGGTCAGCTCGGGAATCGACCTCACGTGGAAGCCGCTTCAAGTATAGTATGCATTACTTCGACGACTAGACTCGCACAAAGTTCAGCAAGGATCGCATTCATGGACCTCAAAATACCTTGATAACCAAATTACAAGGTAAGTTTTAAAATACTAAACCTTATCCATACAAAATAATGGTAATTGAACTGAGTGGAGTGCAATTTGGTCTGAAATCAAACGCGCGATTACAAAATCGCACGACCGCGTAGCGGGAGTGCGATTTGTAATTGCAAGTTTGATTTCAGACCAAAATTGCACGAGACGAAGTTCAATTACCACTTTATTATATCCATTTTGAAATCTTTTTTGAAAAAGACGTTTTTTCCAGTTAAACCGATATGACTTACGATCTACAAGCAGTCGATTCAAACATGCTGTCAAGAGAACTTGTTTATACTGATCGAGCAATGATTCTCATTTTGAAAACCAACTTTCAATCCAAAACTAAAATGAATTTATATAGGACCAAAAGGCATTACATGTATTAAGAATCGTTTACTGACATTAAATAGCAAAACAATCCTGCCCAAAAGGGTTGTAATGAACTGGCTGTTGTCCATACAGCCAATGCTCACTGCTTGCGGCATATCGAATTCACGGAATCAACGGAATCAACGGAATCTCTTTGAAACATATGGAAGTCAAACATCATTAAAATAAAGACAAATCAAATTAAAAGAAAAAGTTAAGAACTTCGTGCTCGGTCGTCCTCTAAGAACTTCGTGCTCGGTCGTCCTCTAAGAAAAAAATTATATGAAACAACTCGATCGGAAACCCTATTATTAATATTATTATGATTTATCTACATAGAATGATTACCCAGGAAACAATGACATGTCAAAAACATAACTTTAGTCCAAATCATAGCTAACCTTGAAAGAATCTGTTCATGGATCCAGCAAAACATTGTACATTTTTCCATCGTTTTATGACAAGTTGGACGCCATTTTGTAAGCACAGGTAGCCCAATTCTTCTTTATGTCTATGGGCTTCCTGTGTTTGAAAATTGGGCTACCTGTGCTTACAAAATGGCGTCC